CACTAATGTACAGCGCTGAGCACACCCTTCGGCGCTATATAAATACTGTATAATAATAATAATATTTCCTCCTCTGGTATAGTGTCAGGCTATTTTCTCTATTGGTTGAATGTTGTTTTACCTTTTATCTTCTGATTGAATGTTCTTAAGACCATTTTCTCTTAGGGACGAATGTTACATACAGGCAACAAATAGAAACTGACCAACCTCACCTTATGGAGATAATTTGTAACTTTCGCATGCATGCTAAAGCATTCTTACAGCAATTTTTTCAATAAATAGACCCTTTGGTGAAGACTGAGAACTGATGGGCTCCAGTTGGTGGAAGAGAAAAATAGCCAAAACTCGTAAAAGTTCTTCTAAAGTCAAAACCTTTTTAGTTTTGATTAAAGTTGGGGAGGGTTAGAACCCCTGCCAGGTTGTTGCCTATATCTACACTGGAGAAATTCTAATTATCCCTCTGTCTTAGTCACCAGGACTAATAGTGATGGGAAATTCCAAAAATTTTGAGTTGCCACTAAAACATGAATTCAAGGGAAAATCTTCCAATGGAGACATTTGTTCTGGTGACAGACTTGTTAGAGCTAGAGACTGCGATGGACTGACTCGATTAGTCACTGGTTGTTGGTTGGCGATAACTCGGGTGAATAGGAAGAAATCCCTTCCAGTGGTTTACGCCCAATTAGAGGTTGGTGGTGGTAGGCCCTCTTGGGGCTTGGCCTGCTTCCTTTAGGTACAGCCGTAGGGTCATTTCCAGAAACTTTGAAAGGTAAGATGCAAGTTGGAAGGTGTGTGAGGAGACATTTATTGAGAATAACGGCATCGATCCAACAGGTTTTGGGGGAACAGCGACTTCCCCATCTTCAGGGCTGTTGTTGCATGCTAATAGATGTGAAGGATTCCCAAAGGTATGTCAATGGCAAGCAATCAAAGAGATTGCTTGCCATTGACTGTCATTGACTTTGAGATGACTGTCAAAGTGTCAGCTGTGTTTGCAGAGACAGAAGGAGTCCCTGTTCCCCCGAAACATGTTGGCTCTGTCATGGGCAGACTGACCATTTAGGCACTCAGGCACTGCCCGAGGGCTCGGGGTCAGTAGGGGGCCCCATGAAATGCCCCTGATACCTTTCATAGGCTTTTTTGGGTGTGGTTTGAGTGTGGGCGAGGACACAGGGGCCCCATGATTTTCTATTGACCGGGGGCCCCATGAGTTGTCAGTCCGCCCCTGGGCTCTGTGTACTTATTCTCAATAAATGTCTTCCTATACACCTTCCAACCTGCTTCTTATTGGACTTCACGGGTTCCTTTTCTACTTACCTTTCTAAGATATCTAGGAAGGGATTTCTCTCACTTCAGGAAAATTTTCTCCTCAGTTCCTATTGTATCTTCAGGTTAGGAAGTGAAGGGAAATATCCCTATTGGGATCAAAAATGAAAACTAGCCATTCCTTACTCCAAAAAAAAGGGGTCTCCAGACTTTCTAAACAAAGGGCCAGTTTGCTGTCCTTCAAACTTTAGGGGGGCCGGACCGTAAAAGTAAACAAAGCCTCAGTCATGGTGGTCAATATGAGTAAAAAATGTACATAGCACTTGTGATCAGTAAGAGGTGGAATAGTGAGCCGTCATTGGTGTCAGTGGAAGGAATACTTCCCCATCGTTGCCTTGGTGTCAGGGAGGATAAGTGCCCCGTCATCAGTTGGTGGGTGCAGAAAGGTACGGCTGCAATTAACAAAACTTGTATTGAAGGAACAGCTTGAAGTTACAAACGGCCCTGCAATTTCTGTGCAGAAATTCGAGTGGAGCAGGTTTTCAGGCACAGACAGTGTCTGTCTCCGAGGGCGGAATGCGAGCTGGCCAGTCTGAGACCAATGGCGAGGATTTTGATGAAAGATGGCATGTCCCTAGCCTCTCCCTACTTGTCCAGAACCTCTCCCTACTGCTATTCACTTTCCCTGATATAGGGGGGGCTCTTTTCCTTCCATTTACAAAATGCATACCAAAACCTGGGGGCAGACACTTAAAAAGGCTCTGCTTGACCCAAGATGGCCACCAGGGTCACCTGGATGCAGCGTAGCCAATTGGAATGCTGCCTCAAGGGACCAAGGAAACGATAGAGAAACCAAGTTTCTCTTGACTTCCTCTCCAGCTGTAGTACCGCACCGGTCAGGGGCGGACTGACCATTTGGGAACTTGGGCACTGCCTGAGGGCCCGGGGTCAGTAGGGGGCCCCATGAGATGCCCCTGGTACCTTTCAAAGGCTTTTTTGAGTGTGGGCAAGAACACAGGGGCCCCATGATCCCTTATTGCCCGGGGGCCCCATGAGTTGTCAGTCCACCCCTGGCACCGGTTGAGCGCCACCTACTGTGGAGAAAGTAGACTGCACCTGCCTACAAATTATACCTCACTATTGCTGTCAGTGGAAAGAATGGTGGCTTATTACTGTGTCAGATGGGGGAGTAGTGCCCCAAAGGTCTGTTAGGGGCAAGCAAAGGGCCAAACCAGGCCCACAGGTCACATTTTGGAAACCTCTGCTACAGAGGTGCAATAATTTGTAAACTGACATTCCAATATCTGTCTGGTCCTCGGAATGTCAAACTATTAGAAAATGATTGTATACTTCAATGAAAGATTGTTTGCAAAGCCAACAGGTTTCGGGGGCTTTGCCTCCGCCCCCTTCATCGGGACTAACATGTAACAGAAAAGAAAAAAATGGTGACACCTAGTTCTGAAAGCTAAAGAACAACATCAGATCCCAGTATCTACCAATAGGAACAACATGAATGAAAAGTATTGATCAGGGGTGGACTGACAACTCATGGGGGCCCCGGGCAATAGGGGATCATGGGGCCCCTGTGTCCTGGCCCACATTCAAACCACACCCAAAAAAGCCTATGAAAGGTACCAGGGGCATCTCATGGGGCCCCCCTACTGACCCCAGGCCCTCGGGCAGTGCGAGTGCGAGTTCCCAAATGGTCAGTCCGCCCCTGGTATTGACTATATTCATTCTCATGTGTGGTAGCCCTTGCCGTTAGTCTGAAAAGCGTTCCACGGTGGAATGTTTTTCAAAGGTACTTGACAGGCAATGAGGAGTTGATCTGATGCCCCCTCACTCCTGTTTTACCCTGAAAATGCTGACCCACTGTGCCACAGCCGCGTGCATTGAATGTGTCGCATTTGATGTGCATGCAGAATCCAGCATGCAGTTTAACCTCTTCCCGACAGCCGTATGTATATATGTGGCCTCTTGGCCGGTGGGCCTTCACGCCCTGCGTGCTCCTGGCACAGTTACCTGCAGTAAAAGGAAAGCTCCTGATCTTTAGTTTGTTGCGCTCAGGAGCTTTCCAATCAACACTATGGCAGCCAATGACGGCGGTCACATGACCAAAATGCCCACTTCTGCCTCCAGGCATTGGAGGCCTTGGCGGGAAGGGGTTCATTTTGACCGTGGCTGGGAAACAAAGCATCAGGGCCACGTCATGGCATCTGAACAAGCTGTTGCTGGTATCCGATGCTGTTCTTCAGCTTTCTGAAATTTGTTACAATTTCTTATCTTTTATGTTCCATTAGCCCTGATGAAGGTGGCGGTGGTGGTGGAGGAGGCGGAGGCGGTGGCAGAGGCACCCCCCCCAAAAAAATATGTTGACTTTGCAATCAATCTACCATTGGAATAAACTTGTATTTGGACTTGAATATTATGGTGTGCTGTTTCATTCCAGCTCATCCAGCAAGGTTCAACTGGATTGAGGTAGGTCATTGAGGTCTTCTCATCCTAACTTGTAGGCAGGTGCAGTCTGCTTTCCCCACTGTAGGTGGCGCTCAACCAGAGCGTTATCACAGCCTGGAGAGGAAGTCAGGAAAAACCTGGTTTCTCTGTCTTCCTGGTTCCTGGAAGCATTGGCTACACAGCATCCAGATGACCTGTGGTGGCCATCTTGGGTCAGCACAGTCTTTATAAGTCTCTGCCGCCCAGGTTTTTGATTTGTAAAGTGGCTCTTGTAGGAAAAGAGCACCCATCTGTCAGGGAAAGTGATTAGTGGCAGGGTAAGGTTCCAGATGAGTAGGGTCAGATTTGGGACTTGCAATCCCGCAGAAGCCTCCCCTTGGGGACTAGCAAGGCCGCATTCCACCCTCTGAAGACAGACGCTGTCGGTGCATCATCTCTCGCTGCATCTCTGCATTGAACTGAACTGTGAGTGTTACCCTAAGTGGCCCTCTCCCACTGGGGTTGTTTGTTTTTGGCAATCTCTTCAAAACAAGTATCAAGTTTAACGGCAACCGGACTCGTGTCATTACTGCCGCGGCACCACGCTGCACCTTCCCACAAGCTCAGCAAACCATTGGGGAAGCTCTAACTGGGCAGAGGATTTATGGACTCGTGGGAAAGGTGCCGATTAGGATGAAGTTCAGATTCACCGCTACCAGCGGAGAATCCACAAGGCTCACAAACTATTGGTCGAAAACTTCACAGCTTCGTCACCATAAATAGGGAACAACCCATAATACAGGGTTTAGCCCTGGTCAGCTGAGTCACAATGGCCAATAATATGAAGGAATGGATATCCCAGCTCCCCACCTACTATAAAAGGGTGGCATTGGTTGATGTCCCTCATGACAATGTTTGGCTTCCGATGCCAATAGCTTGCTTACTAGCTCTACAGATGGCCAGAGCTGAACAACACGATTTGGCCCCCTATAGGCTTCAGTGGAGTTCGCCGCAATTCAAGCAAAATTTGCAAAACTGTTCATGAACTGTACCCAGGCAGATTCTCTCATTCCTTTGGCCAAATTATAATGGTGGTACATTGACACCGAGCTCTGCCATTGGACCCATTCTACTGCCACTGTTTGTTTGCTGAAGCTTGCATGGCTTTGTGTAGGGTTATACCCCCTGTGTCTGCTGGAGTAAGTGCCTCCGGGTGCTTTTGACTATTTTTGGTCCATACTGGTTATATATATATTGCACAGCGAGGTGTTACACCCCGTAAAGCATATGTACCGTACCTGGCTGGACGATGTCCTGGGCTCACTCATGTCTGGCTCCTCCAGTTCAGGGAGGGAGTCATCATTGCTTTCCGTGTCATTACAAGAGCCTATACCAAATACAAAGAGGACAGGATATTAGTGAATGATATCAACACTCGCCCTGGACCCAGCTGTCTGCTTGATAATCTACTACACATCATCCGTACACAGGTAGGCTGAGACCAGGGGCGGACTGACCATTTGGAAACTCGGGCACTGCCAGAGGGCCCGGGGTCAGTAGGGGGCCCCATTAGATGCCCCTGGTACCTTTTTCATAGGCTTTTTTGAGTTTGGGCAAGGACACAGGGCCCCATGATCCCCTATTGCCTGGGGGCCCCATGAGTTGTCAGTCCACCCCTGGCTGAGACATCAGAGATTGTTGATCCAGGGAATATCCGACTGCCTCCTGGGGGATCAGGAAGGAATTTATTTTCCCCCGCTGGAGCAAATTGGACCATGCCGCATAGGGTATTTTTTGCCTGAGAAAAGAAAATGAATGCATGGATGGGGACAGGGGCGGACTGACAACTCATGGGGCCCCTGGGTAATAGGGGATCATGGAGCCCCTGTGTCCTTGCCCACACTCAAACCAGACCCCAAAAAAGCCTATGGAAGGTGCCAAGGGCATCTCATGGGGTCCCCTACTGACCCTGGGCCCTTGGGCAGTGCCCGAGTGCCCAAATGGTCAGTCCGCCCCTGGAAGTGGAGGAGGACAAGAGGGGTGGGGGAAGGTGGAGCTGGGGGCAAGGGGGTTGAGGGAAGGGGGATAGGTTTGGTTCTCTAGTTTAGCAAGGGAACTCTGGCAGGGCTACAAACACTGCTTTGGATTGCATGGCGATAAAGGCAGTTTTTTTCGTTTTCGGATCATTGTAGGAAGGTAAGGTTCTCATTGGATTTCTGGCAGGATAAACAGGTATGTTTCTGTACTTTCAGCATTTTCAAAAAGAGGAAACATAGAGAAAAAGTACGTAAGCAAACTAATAGACAAGGACCTGCACACCTAATCCAGACTGCCTATTTAGGTAACAGAGCTGAGCCAGGAAGAATGGTCTTCAGCTGTTACCTTGCATCTTGAACCTGAACCTGTTCCTGACATTTGCTTTTGCATTGGTGGCCTGGCCTGTTTTTGGACTTGTCTCCACTCTGGCTCTTGCTATTGACCTTAGCTAGTTCCTGACCACGGCTTGCCTGTGCTGATTTCCAGGTTTGACCTTGGTCAATTCCTGACCATGACTTGTCTCTCCTGATTCTCAGTTTTTGACCTCAGCTAGTTCCTGACCACAGTCTATCTTTGCTGATTCCCAGTTTTGACCTCAGCTAGCTCCTGACAGTGGTTTGTCTCTGCTGATTCCCAATATTGACCTTGACCAGTTCCTGACCACGACTCATCTATGCTGATTCCCTTTTTTTTTTTTTACCTTGGCTAGTTCCTGACCACAGCTTATCTGACCTTGACTCGTCACTCCTGATTCCCAGTTTTTGACCTCGGCTAGTTCCTGACCACAACTTGTCTCTACGGTTCATCCATTTTTGATCTCTGCTAGTTCATGACCATGCCTTGTCTCTGCTGATTCCCGGTTTTGACCCCAGCTAGTTCCTGACCACAGCTTGTCTCTGCTGATTCCCACTTTTTTATTTCTGCTAGTACCTGATCACAGCTTATCACTGCCGATTCCCGGTATTGACCTCAGCTAGTTCCTGACCATGGCTTGTCTCTGCTGACTCCCAGTTTTGACCTTGAATAGTTCCTGGCCATGACTTGTTTCTACTGATTCCCAGTTTTGACTCCAGCCAGTTCCTGACTACAGCTTGTCTCTGCTGATTCCCACATGTTTACTTCTGCTAGTTCCTGATCACATCTTGTCTCTGCTGATTCACAGTTTTTGACTTCTGCCAGTTCCTGGCCATGGCTTGTCTCTGCTGATTAACAGTTATGACCTTGGCTAGTTCCTGACCACAGCTTATCTCTGCAGATTCCAGGTTTTGACCTAAGCTAGTTCCTGATCATGGTTTGTTTCTACTGATTCCCAGTATTGACCTTGGCCAGTTCCTGACCACGACTCGTCTCTCCTGATTCCCAGTTTTTGACCTCAACTAGTTCCTGACCACAGTTAATCTCTGCTGATTCCCAGGTGGTTCTTGACCTTGACTCGTCTCTCCGGATTCTCAATTTTGACCTTGGTTAGTTCCTGCCCTTGACCTGTCTCTCCTGTTTCCCTGTTTTTGACCTCAGCTAGTTCCTGACCACAGCTTGTCTCTGCTGATTATCCATTTATGACCACTGCTAGTTCATGACCATGCCTTGACTCTGCTGATTCCAAGTTTTGAACCTGGCTAGTTCCTGATCACAGCTTGTCTCTGCTGATTCCCACTTTTTCACTTCTGCTTGTTCCTGATCCACCCTGCCTGTCCAGACCATGCTTCTAGCTTGCACCTCACAACCAAGCCTTCCGTCAGAAGGGACCACCTGTGGCCTGGACATCCAGCACCCGTGCCACTCTGTACCTTCTCGTTCTCTATGCTACACTCCAGGGATACCTGGACAAGAGTTGTAAGGGAAGCCCTCTTGTCATCCTAGCCTCCAGCCAGGTACGTGATACAGGTACTGGCTCACAATCGACATTCCAGTTCATCCCAAAGGTTTAGTAGGGTTAAGGTCAGAGCTCTGTGCCAGACACTACAAGTTGGAAGAGCACAATTACTTTTATCTGTTGTAGGTTTAACAGTACCCTTCACTAGTAAAACCTGAATTCCACCATTTGAAGGGGGTGCCACCTACATTTGGTTATATAGGTAAGTGTGATGTCAAGTGTGTACAAAGTGTTGGCCATAGAATGTCTCTGAGGGGCAGAAATAGGATATTGCCTAAATTTAAACCATTCTGCAGAGGTCATCTAAGGACCCCAAACTTTGTCCATTCCTAACAAGAGCATCTTATGTCTGTAGGTACCCATTCCCAATCCCTGAGTTGTGTTACCTCTATGACTAAGCATTTCACAGCCACGCTGCCTCAGGAGCGGTTTGGTGATGCCCAGAAGTGTCACGTCGGATGTGTCCCTTAGGAGAGGCATCTCTTGGCCCCGGGAGGTCAGCTCACTGTCACTGGATGAACTGGGCTCAGATGGAGGGCAGGTCAGTTGGATTTTCTTTCCCACTTTCTCTTGGAGTGGAATGGAGCGTGTGCACCGGCTAGTCATCGGGGTCTCTGTGCTTTGCATGGTGGCAATAGAGCTGCTTTCTGGAACCGCTGAAATATGACAGAAAAAAAAAACGACAACGGGATAATTGTGTTATTTTCAATGAGGATTCCGAGATCTTCTGGACAGTTAATATGAATATTCTGAGAATCCTAAAGGAAATATAACTTCCTATAGTCTAGATACGACCAACTTACGAGCAGCATGTGTGTGGTAGAGGGGCTCTTCCCTTTTCTCTGAAGAAAAGGAAACAACTGTGCATTGGGCGCAGAGATTTGCCTGCATGCTGAAAAAAGATCTGCATGTGGTAACAAGTTCTTAAAACATTCAAACGTGTACGTTGCGTGGTATAATTGGGATCATTAAAGTATGGCACCACCATCATTCTCTATTTTTGAAATTGTCTGAGTGGCCTATCAGATTCAAATCTTTACAAAGAAGCATACAGAACTTAAGTCTGCCTACCCCCCCCCCCCCAAGAAACTCCCTAAACATTGTCCCTATCTTAAAAAAAAACAAAAAAAAAACAAACAGTACTGTGTTTTATGTGCTTAGTTTTGTAATGAAAAAAAAAAACATCTAATACAGTCAGATTGAACATAAAATAAAAAAAAACATGGAGTCCAGCATTGTCTTGCTCAAAGCAAAATCTTTGCCCTTCTAGCCCCCCATCTTAAATTGAGATCTGGCACATGTGCAGACATGCTGTGAGGTTCTGCCAGGTCTATGGGTACCAATCTATGGGACCTGGCAGAGAAGTCTATGGTAGCACCAGTCCATGGGATCTGGCAGAGGAGTCTGTGGGTACCAGTCTATGGGACCCGGTAGAGAAGTCTATGGCAGTAGTAGTCTATGGGGACCTGGTAGAGAAGTCTATGGTAGTACTAGTATGTGGGACCTGACATAGAAGTCTATGGCAGTACCAGTCCATGGACCTGGCAGAGGAGTCTATGGGTACCAGTCTATGGGACCCGGTAGAGAAGTCTATGGCAGTACCAGTCTATGGGACCTGGCAGAGGTCTATTGAAGTACCAGTCTATGGGACCTGGCACAGAAGTCAATGACAGTATCACTGTATGGGGACCTGGCAGAGATGTTTATGGCAGTAAGAGTCTAGGGGACCTGACAAAGAAGTCTATGGCAGTATCCGTCTATGTGACCTGGCAGAGAAGTCAATGGCAGTACCAGTCTATGTGACCTGGCAGATAAATATATCAGCGGTATCAGTCTATGGGACTTGGCAGAGAAGTCAATGGCAGTACCAGTCTATGGGGACCTGACAGAGAAGTCTATGGCAGTACCAGTCTATGGGGACCTGACAGAGAAGTCTATGGCAGTACCAGTCTATGGGACCTGGCAGAGGAGTCTAGCAAAACCAGTCTATGGGACCTAGCAGAGAAGTCTACGGCAGTAACAGTCTATGAGACCTGGCAGAAAAGTTGATGGCAGTATCACTCTATGGTAACCTGGCAAAGAATTCTATGGCAGTACCAGTTTATGGAACCTGGCGGACAAATCCATGGCAGTACCAGTCTATGGGACCTGACAGAAAAGTCTATGGCAGTACCAGTCTATGTGACCTGGCAGATAAATATATCAGCGGTATCAGTCTATGGGACTTGGCAGAGAAGTCAATGGCAGTACCAGTCTATGGGGACCTGACAGAGAAGTCTATGGCAGTACCAGTCTATGGGGACCTGACAGAGAAGTCTATGGCAGTACCAGTCTATGGGACCTGGCAGAGGAGTCTAGCAAAACCAGTCTATGGGACCTAGCAGAGAAGTCTACGGCAGTAACAGTCTATGAGACCTGGCAGAAAAGTTGATGGCAGTATCACTCTATGGTAACCTGGCAAAGAATTCTATGGCAGTACCAGTTTATGGAACCTGGCGGACAAATCCATGGCAGTACCAGTCTATGGGACCTGACAGAAAAGTCTATGGCAGTACCCGTCTATGGGACTTGACAGGGAATACTATGTCAGTATCAGTCTATATAACCTGGAAGAGAAGTCTATGGCAGTACCAGTCATTGGGACCTGGCAGATAACTCTAGGGCAGTACCTGTCTATGGAACCTGGCAGAGAAGTCTGTTGAAGTACCAGTCTGTGGGACCTGGCAGAGAAGTCTGTTGGCAGTACCAGTCTATGTGACCTGGCAGAGAAGTATATGGCGGTACCCGTCTATGGGACTTGACAGGGAAGACTATGTCAGTATCAGTCTATGTAACCTGGAAGAGAAGTCTGTGGCAGTACCAGTCGTTGGGACCTGGCAGATAACAATGGGGAGTACCTGTCTATGGGACCTGGCAGAGAAGTCTATTGAAGTACCAGTCTGTGGGACCTGGCAGAGAAGTCTATTGTAGTACCAGTCTATGGGACTTCACTGAGAAGACTATGTCTTTTCAGTCTATGGGATTATCAGTCTATGGGACCTAGCAGAGAGGTCTATGGCAGTACCAGTCTATGGGACCTGACTGAGAAGACTATGTCATTACCAGTCTATGGGACCTAGCAGAGAGGTCTATGGCAGTAGCAGTCTATGGGACCTGACTGAGAAGACTATGTCATTACCAGTCTATGGAACCTAGCAGAGAGGTCTACGGCAGTACCAGTCTATGGGACCTAGCAGAGAGGTCTATGGCAGTACCAGTCTATGGGACCTGACTGAGAAGACTATGTCATTACCAGTCTATGGGACCTAGCAGAGAGGTCTATGGCAGTACCAGTCTATGGGACCTGACTGAGAAGACTATGTCATTACCAGTCTATGGAACCTAGCAGAGAGGTCTACGGCAGTACCAGTCTATGGGACCTAGCAGAGAGGTCTATGGCAGTACCAGTCTATGGGACCTGACTGAGAAGACTATGTCATTACCAGTCTATGGAACCTAGCAGAGAGGTCTATGGCAGTACCAGTCTATGGGACCTGACTGAGAAGACTATGTCATTACCAGTCTATGGGCCCTAGCAGAGAGGTCTATGGCAGTACCAGTCTATGGGACCTGACTGAGAAGACTATGTCATTACCAGTCTATGGAACCTAGCAGAGAGGTCTATGGCAGTACCAGTCTATGGGACCTGACTGAGAAGACTATGTCATTACCAGTCTATGGGACCTGGCAGAAAGGTCTACGGCAGTACCAGTCTATGGCCTGTGCATGTGCCAGATCCCCAAAATATGTGAAGGCATGCTGTGTCACCCCGTGGCACGTGCCTGCATATGTGTGGCATCTTGTAAACGGCCCCTGGGATGTCTACATCACACATGGCTACTTCACCCCCACACCATACCTGTACATGCAGGGGGTGGGGTGGGGCGTGAAGGCATTCTGACCTAGGCCCAAGCCAGAAAGTAAAAAAAAGACGCATGCACAATGCACATGCGCAGTTAGCTGTGTCAGAGAACTGGCAGAAACCCCGCACTTGTGTGCAAATGCATGACATCTTGCAAGCAACTTCAGGGATGGTGACGTCACACATCCAATCACATTTATGAGATATCCCAACCGTGTGCATACTCCATGTAGCATAGCTACGCTTGCGGGGGGACCGTGACATCATTCTGTACTAGGCCGGGGAAGGAAGAACATTTAAAATGGCGCAAAGTTCTGCTTTACTTACATATTTTGCTTCATTAATGCAGCTATAGACTTAACTTCAATTACATTTTTGCATATTTAAAAAAAAAAAAAAAAATCTCAGAGCTATTCGTCCTGTGAAACTGCATGTACATTCGTTCTGTGTGAATGGGGAGAAAATCGAATGCCGGCAGGCAATTTTTCTCTCCAGGCCAAAACGTTCTTCATTCGTACAGAAAGGTGCGCGTCAGAAAAATACCGCAACGTGACCACCAGATAGCTGAAGTATTTATTTCTTGCGATCATCGGCTCCATCTAGTTGCCGTATTTTTCTATTGTGTGTGAATTAATGACACTCGGCCTGCAGAGAAAACAGCTTAACATTAGAATCTGCCCCCATTCAGAAAAAAAACGAATGCACATGCAGTTTCACAGGACGAATATCCCTGCATTAAAAATAAATAAATAAATACACCCCGTAGTTTGCTCGCTGTGCCGCGTATCATAAGCAATCGTTCAAAAAGTGCATTATAAGGTTCGTTAAAAGTGAAACTTAACTCTTAATATAAAGCTCTGCTCTATGCCCCCTCCCCCTTCCTGGTTTTTCTGGTGGTCCCATCCCCACCGCCATTCCAGCCGAAGGTAGAATGACATATCCTGCTCCCTCAGCCCCCTGGGAAAAACCCCACCACATATCCCAGGGAGCATCTGGAGCCCACTCACGGAATGGCCTTGGGAGGGGGAGCAAAGCTGCCTTGTGATCAGGGGTTGGACTGCCTGAATACAGTATAGGCAGCTGGCTGAAGAGGACCAAGAGGGTAGCATGAGACACAGGCAGGGCTGTCTTCAATGTGGGGCAAAAGGGGCAGCTGCCCCGGGCCCAGTCGTTGTTGTGGGGTCCATGCCAGTGGCAGAACTTCCAAGATCGCAAAGGTGGCTGACTGAAGAGAAGAACTAGTTTTGCTCGGGTCTGTCCTCAGGAGATGGTAAACGCACAGCAGACTACCCAACCGAGTCTCTCCACCTATTGAATTTGCAGCTGCAGGCAGATGGGGCATGGTGTTGGGGAGCAGAAACTGGAGCTGAAGGAGGTCTCCATGGTGTGAGGAGACCCATCTATGGACATGGAGTGATGGAGACACGTTGAGGGAGCCAACTGCTTGCATGAAGGCAGGGGGAACTGAGTGAACACAGGTTACAGTGAGTGTCACTGATCCCATCACCCCTCTAGCACTGACATTTATTACACCCTCCCCCCCGAGGAATGCCACTGATAACACCCCCCCTGAGGAATGCCACTGATAACACCCTCCCAGCACTGCCACTGATCCCATCCCCCCCAGCACTGCCACTGATTCCAATCCCACCAGCACTGCCACTGATCCCATCTCCCCCCAGCACTGCCACTGATCCCAATCCCACCAACACTGCCACTGACCCATCCCCCCAGCACTGCCACTGATCCCATCTCCCCCCAGCACTGCCACTGATCCCATCCCCACCAGCACTGCCACTGACCCATCCCCCCAGCACTGCCACTGATCCCATCTCCCCCAGCACTGCCACTGATCCCATCTCCCCCAGCACTGCCACTGATCCCATCTACCCCAGCACTGCCACTAATCCCATCTCCCCCAGCACTGCCACTGCTCCCACCTCCCTCAGCACTGCCACTGATCCCATCTCCCCCAGCACTGCCACTGATCCCATCCCCCCCAGCACTGCCACTGATCCCATTCCCCCTCAGCACTGCCACTGACCCATTCCCCTCAGCACTGCTACTGACCCATCCCCCTCAGCACTGCCACTGATCTCATGCACAGTGGTGTATTTAGGTTTTGTGCTGCCCTAGGCAACACAAAAATCGTCTGCCTCAACAGACACCAACCAACACCCCCCCTTCCCCCACCCTTTGAGAGAGCTTGATATTCCACTGAGAGAGCCTGACATTGACCAACAACACCCCTGCCCCCCACTCGGGAGAGCCTTCCACTACCCCCCCCCACCACCACCAGCGATAGAGAGAAAGACACTCATCTTCAAAGCAGTCTCTACATACACCATCAAGCAGCCCGCAGCCTCTCTTGGATCCCACCTGGTTCCCATGGCGCGCGTATCCCTTCTTTCATCTCTTCTTCTGAGGGGAGGTGCTGCCCCCCTGAAAAATGCTGCCTTATGCAAGTGCCTTGTTTGCCTTGTGGTAAATACGCCCCTGCTCATGCCCCCCCCCACCAAGAAAATATTTGCCCAGGGTCATAATTAAAGATGGCCCTGGACACAGGTACAGACATGTGAAGAGTGGATTGTTGCATGACAATGCTGGATTCCCTAGACATGTAAACGTGTATTTTGAACCCAACTCGAAGTGAGGGGGGATAGGGGTGCAGGGGGGAGTTAAGTTTCACTTCAGATCTTATTATTCTATAGAGTTGGTTGCAAAGGCAGAATTTCACACTTGAATGTAAACTTACCGGAAGAAAGCTTCTTGGTCCCCAGCATTTCAGAGGCAGCCAGAGGTCTGACCACTTTTTGGTCATGAAGACTTTCACCAGGCATGGGGGTAAGAGATTTTGCAGGAGGCACTTTACTTACAGGGGAGCGGGGCTTTTTTGTGTCCAGATTATTTTCAGCAGGGGGCATTGCAGCTTCAGCATGGGGGGTTACATGCATGGAAAGGGGGCACTCATTGTCCATTTCCGACAGCTTGACCTGGTAATTCACCTTGCTGCTAAACTGCTCTACTTGGGACTTCTTGGAAGTCCTCACATCCCTCAAATAACTGCTATTTACACATCTGTCCTGTTCTCTGCTATACACCTTAGACTGCCTAAGGGATTCACGTAACGATGGCTCATTGACACAGCAAATGTTCTCTACTGGCTTCTGATGAGCATTAAGTCTCTCTTGAGTATGATCTTTCTCAGAAGAAGTATTACCACTCATGAAGGACGTGGAGGCTCTTCCTAAAAGATTCTTCTCAGAGCTAGATGCTGTAGAAGTAATTTTCTCACGTGATGTTAATTCAGAGATTGCAGGCTTGTCTGGACATCCTTCAACATCGTCTTGCTTTTTCTTTACAGTACTAATATTATCCTGTGCAGAAGACTCTCCATCCTTGACCTTGGATGTCTCATCATTGTCTACAAGCTTGACTACTGAGGGCACGCTTGTGATTGTTTCTGAAGGACTACACCGAATGCTTTGATCAAAAGTCTCTGTTTTACCAAAGGAACCTTGAAGCAACTTGCTCATCTCTAGAATGTCACTGGACATCTCCACTTTAGGCATACGTGGCTTAGAAGCTACATCAATGAAGGCACTATCAGATCGTGGATGGACATCACGTACTGAGATGCTAGATGACGTAGGCTCTGTATCCACCAACTCTGGGGATTCTTCTGGGGTTTTAGCAATGTCTTCCTTTGACCTATCAACCATCTCAGGCAAGGAATCATTGGAATTAGTATCCAATTCAGAAGCAGCACAAAGGTTTTTATCTACACTGCGTTTAAGACGCGTTTGGGATTCATGGATCTCTGATGGATCTATAGAGTCTTTGGCATCTCTAGAAGGGGTGGTTTTTATGGGTTTTATCATTGCAAGCAGCTCCTTTTCTACTAACTGTCCGGTGAAAGGTGCATTTGTTTGTATAGAAGTACAACTAGGAAATAAATCTCTTTGGGTTGGCTGTCTTTCATCTAAATTATCCAAATCCTTTTTAATACTGGGTTCTTGGTTCTGAAGGATCATAAACGTGCTTTCTACGCTAACAGCTTCACTAGCCCTGGTACAACTGGCAAAATATCCATCACTGAGCTGACTGTGTTTTGTTGTATCCAACTTGTGTTCTGATTGGGTAATAGTCGGCACCCACTTTTCACTAATTATCTCCAAATGACTTTCATGCACTGACTTGTTCTTGAGCTCAGAGTCCAAGGAATCTTCTTGCTGTAATTTGGGGTTGTCACAATGGAGGACACTCTCCTGGTCTTGTGGTTCTTTACAAACAGGACAGTTATCTTCATCTTTGGACTCATCAGTTTCCAATTTTGTGGAATCTTCATTCTCTACAGAAAATGTTTCCTGTATCTGATGTTGTAGAAGGCCTATGGTAGATGCATCACTGGTCGGAATGTCAGGCTGTAAGAAATAGGGGCATTTCTCAAGAGTGCCTTGAACTTCACTAATTGTTTGGGCTGTTGCCTCTTCATGTTTGTTACATCTCCAGGATTCAAAAGACTCTGTTACTTGATCTTCAGGACTAGCTGACAGAGAAGTTAAAGGTTGTGTTTGTGTGGATGGAGTTTTGTCTACTTCTTTAATTTTGGTTTTAGACATATTTTCGTTGGTTGACTCTAACCAGTTTAGTCGGTTTTGTTCCAGGCGGTCCCTCAATGGAGCATTGCCTTCACTTGATTTAGAATGTTTCTCACCACTAATGGAAACAAAAGTGTCTTCTTTATACATCTTATAAACCAACAATGTTTCCACCTCGGTTTCACCAGTAACTTCTTGTATTGAAAACTGATTGGTATCATGATATTTTTCATGGACCTTGGCACTGGTATGTAAAGTGCTAGTTGCCTCAGAACTTGCTTCTGTGGTGCTTTCATCTGCATTTGTATCTTCTGCCTGTACTTCTTGCTGATCCTTTAAATCATTCATATAAGATGTCTGATTTGAAATGTAATTAGCAGCTTCTTCTTGTTGTCTGTAAATCTCAGCAAGGAGGGATGAGCGATCCAGAAACATGACATCTTCTGGGTCTTCCCCAGAGTCATAACATGCAAACACACACACTTCCTCAGGCATGTCTTCTAAAGGGGCATCTTTTAACATCTCAGTCTCAGAGATTGTGCCTTGAGTATCTAATACCATGGTCTTTACGTTCTTCTTGCATTCTTCTAAGTCATCAGAGTCCACAGTGAAGTGGGTGCTTGTTGCATTTTCTTCTGGCTGTGACGGTAGCTTCCCAAGATCTTCTTCATACACTTCACGCTGATCTGCAAAATAATTCCCATCTTCAGCTAGCCTCACCTCCATGGATGTCTGCCTTCCGCTTTCATCACTTTCTCTGCCTTCGTCTTTTAGACTTTGCAGAGTGGTGTTTAATGGTGGAAGAGAATCGAGCTCTTCATCGGTGTCGAAACAAGCCATCAGACATTCCCCAACATTCCCAATCCCCGCTTTAAGAACCAGGTCTATTTCTGATGAAGAGGTGGACTGTTGTTCTACTGGGCTGTCAGACCAGGTCCTAATAGCTCCATGTCTTTCTTCTAGTCTCTGTGATGCCTCTGGACTTGCAAAATGTGGCTCAGCTTCTGAAGTGACAACTAAGGTGCTTCTGATGGGTTCTTGAGGTGCATTGCTGGTGCTAGAGTCTTCAAGTTCACTTGAACTGTCCTGAATAGTACAAGTCTCCTTAGACTCTGAGAGTGGAAAATCTTGTGCTAACGGATATGGTGCAACGCTATCACCATGTTCCTCATCACTATTTAATTCTTCTTCATCCTCATTTGTGACAGAATCTTCATTCACGGCAGATGTTACCTCTACGATTTTTTCCACATTATCACCTGCATCTCCACAGTTGATGTCAAGAGCTGCAAAAACAGCACACTCCTCGTCAGTCTCCCGACATGTCAGAAGAGGTTTCCATCTCACTCTCGCATCCTGAATTGGACGAGTCATGTTGGGATTTTCCTGAAGCTTCAGTGGCATGGGGTGCAGAATCAGTTGTTACAGCATACTGCTCCGTGCTGTACCTTTTCTCATCTTCATCCCCATCATATGATGCTGAATCTGATGACTCCGATGTGTCGTCTTGATAGGCAAACGATTCATCCACTCCTTCATTAATAGAAGTTTCAGATAAGGAATGCAGATAGGAAGCTGAGGTGCTATCTTCATTGTCATCCTCCTCTTCTTCTTCTTCTCCTTCCCCACAGACGACTTCAGTTTCCACCGACTCTCCTTGAGGGAACAGTGTTATCTCCATGGACTCTGCTTCAAAAATCAAACTGCCCCGAAATGGCAGCATAAAAGCAGGAATCATGTGATCATTTTCAGGACCTGGCATGCTAGCCCTTGATAGTTCTGCAGATGTTATATCTGGGTTTGCGGATTGTAGTACACCATCTGCATCTGAAGAACAACTTGCCTGCTGTGGTGCCTCATGCACAAAGGTGGTACCAGCGTTAATAAATTCAGGACATAAAGGGATGCTAGTAAAAGATGGTGCAAAATCTGTCTCCCATTCATCTTCATCACTGGACTGTTCTTCACTAGGATACCCATCCAGGAGCTCCTCATTTTCTGGAGAGAAGTCATCTTGATCTATGTCACGGTCGTAAAGTTCTGGAATATCTTCATCTTCAAGTATATCTGGGGACATACAGCATGGGTCCTCAGAAATACTTTCTTCATGAGTCATTAGGTTGTCTGGGTAAGGGCTGGGAGATTCAACAGTTTCACCTTCTCCCATCAAATTTGGAGAATATGATGGTGAACCACTAGAAGTGGCAGATGAGGCCCAACTACCACCTTCTGCAGTGACGTAGGATCCTGATGGTGACGTAGGGGGAGATGACATATTGTCATTTTCTAAATCTATCTGGTCATCATGTAAAGCATGTTTGGAACCGGGATAATGTTTAAACTGGGTGTAGATGCTTTTAATTGGCGTGGAAGGAGCCGTAGTGTATGGATCTGAATCTGCGTTACATGCGGGGTTGATCTGTAATGAATGAATATCGTTCTCTCTAGTGCTGCCGGGTGACTCTTTGGTGGGTTTGAGAAAGGAAGGCACATCAGCTACGGCTTCACCCTGAGAAAATAAGCCACCTTTCAAAACGTACTCTTGACACATTTCATTAGATTCAAAGTGCAAATCGTCCAGAGACTCAATGGCTTCATGGTCACTTTCCTGCTCTGAATTCTCCTCCAAAATTTCAGCTTTACGGTGACGTAAGTGCATTGTTGCTTCATCTAAGGTGTCCCCAGAAGCTTCCTCATACTCAGATATGATGTTGTGCCCCCTGTTGGCAGACCCTGCTTCCTCATTGCTACAAGAAGTCTCTTCCCCCATTACAATTCTTGTATCGAGCATGTCCAGGGTTGGGGTCTCAGCAGGACAATGTTCTGTGGCCTCTTCTAAGTCTTGCTCCTGAGATACCAGGGCCTTATCTGCTGCCTCGGTGGCCAGGTGAAGGATTCCAGTGGCTTGTCCATGCTGTGACTCACTGCTAGCTCCTTCTGGTTGAGGCCGGTCTTCCTCTTTGGCCTGCAGGTATGCAGACACCAGTGCTTTGTCAGCAATGCATATGGGGCTCACAATTGGAGACTCCTCTAATGGGCTCAGGCTTTTGGGGGTTGCAGAGTCGCTACATGGGGTTGAAGCAATGGAAGCAGCCGGTGATAAACCTGTAGGGAAAAAACATAAAAGAAAAGAATTTTAATAATTCTCAACTGAAGCAAATGCAAGAATGTATGGTGGTTACTCAGTTAAGGTGTATGCATAGATAATATCTAAAGTGGAATTCCAAATTGTTTTTTTTTTTTTATTGCTATCTTGGATTTGTAAAAAATAGGCAACTTTTGCTTCAATACTCACCTTCAATCCAGAGTTAACTCTTCTCTGTCAACAGGTGCTGCCAGTTTTCAAGACTGCATGACAGCCAGCATCCTCCTACCCATTTCTTGTGAGACCAGGGTGTCAAGGACATGGCCCCTGAGGTGCTGTCATTATGAAGTCTGGCCTCACAGGACTTCTGGACTGAGGGATGATACCTCTTAGTCCAGAAGGAAGGACCACCCATTGATACTGCCAAGGATGAAAAAAGGAGAGGCAACTTTTATTGCAATACTCACCTTCAATCTGGAGCTAACTCTTCTCCATCAACAGGTGCTACCAGTCTTCAAGACTACCTGGCAGCCAGCATCATTCTACCTACTTCTCGTGAGACCAGGCTGTCAAGAACCTGGCCCCTGGGGCACTGTCATTATGCAGTCTGGCCTCACAGGACATCTAGACTTAGAGAGGGTTCCCCTTGGTCCAGAAGGAAGGACCACCTATTGATAATGCCAAGCATGAAAAGGAAAGGCAACTTTCACTGCAATACTCACCTTCAATCTGGAGCTAACTCTTCTCCATCAACAGGTGCTACCAGTCTTCTGGACTACATGGCAGCCAGCATCATTCTACCTACTTCTTGTGAGACCAGGCTGTCAAGAACCTGGCCCCTGGGGCACTGTCATTATGCAGTCTAGCCTCACAGGACATCTAGACTTAGAGAGGGTACCTCTTAGTCCAGAAGGAAGGACCACCCATTGATACTGCTAAGCATGAAAAGGAAAGGCAACTTTCACTGCAATACTCACCTTCAGCCTGAAGCTAACTCTTCTCCGTCAACAGGTGCTACCAGTCTTCTGGACTTCATGGCAGCCAGCATCATTCTACCTACTTTTCGTGAGACCAGGCTGTTAAGAACCTGGCCCCTGGGGCACTGTCATTATGCAGTCTAGCCTCATAGGACGTCTAGACTTAGGAAGGGTACCCCTTGGTCCAGAAGGGAAGACCTTCCATTGATACCTCCAAGAATGAAGAGGAAAGACTCTTGACATCGTTGGACTAATTTGAAAAATGCAAAAGAAGACATCCAAGAGTGACTTCAAGTGAAAGTGAGTTGTACAGGAGCCACATCAGCGCTCAAATGATGTAGGACAAGACAAACAATCTTGGAACAGAAGGACTTGATGGTCAACATCTCTGGTTCAGTGCCCAGATATACTTACGACCTTACAGCCCTCTTCAGATTAGGGGGTTCTTTATTTCTAAACGACAAACAACAAGAAGGGTGCGCCAGCCTCGTGCATTACCTCCATTTATGAATGGAAAATGTACAGATAGACTCACAAAGGCCACACGACTGCAACTATATGATATATCCTAGCAAAACCTGAATGTCCAATATGAAGACCTGGGTGACATTCAACAGCAGATACAAGAGCTCATGCATTTCAAGGGATATACATCAAAGCTAACTTGTCTGCCACGGGACAAGTTCGTTCTGAGGAAGAGGGTATATACCTCAAAATGCGTAAGCTCTTGTGTCTGCTGTTGAGTGCCGCCCAGGTCTTCTTATTGGACAAGTTTAGGATGGATATTTGCAAAGAACAGCAGTGGGATGAGAATATTATTATTATTATTATACAGGATTTATATAGCGCCAACGGTTTGCTCAGCGCTTTACAATATAACGGGAGACAATACATTAACAATACAGTTCAATACAAGAGGGATAGGAGGGCCTGATCCTGGGAGCTTACAATCTAGGAGGGAGGGGTGAATGGTACAGTAGGTATTCACTGTGGGGGATGGAGTGGTTGGAAGAGTAGAGGATTCCAGAATTAGCAGAGGGCAGGATAGGCTTCCCTGGAGAGATAGGTTTTTAGTCATCGCCTAAAGGCAAGTAGAGTAGGTGATAGTCTGATAGATTGGGGTAGGGCATTCCAGAGGATGGGTGATGCCCTGGAGAAGTCTTGGAGACGAGCATGGGAGGAGGAGATAAGGGAGCTAGAGAGTAAGAGGTCTTGCGAGGAGCGGAGAATACGGTTTGGGTGATATTTAGAGATAAGATTGGTTATGTAAATTGGGGCAGTGTTGTGGATGGCTTTATATGTCATTGTTAGAGTTTTGAATTTTATCTGTTGGGCAACTGGGAGCCAGTGGAGGGACTGGCAGAGAGGGGTGGAGGACATTGAGTGGAGACCAGTGGAGGGATTGGCAGAGAGGGGTGGAGGACACTGAGTGGAGGCCAGTGGAGGGATTGGCAGAGAGGGGTGGAGGATACTGAGTGGAGGCCAGTGGAGGGATTGGCAGAGAGGGGTGGAGGACACTGAGTGGGGGCCAGTGGAGGGATTGGCAGAGAGGGGTGGAGGACACTGAGTGGAGGCCAGTGGAGGGATTGGCAGAGAGGGGTGGAGGACATTGAGTGGAGACCAGTGGAGGGATTGGCAGAGAGGGGTGGAGGACACTGAGTGGAGGTCAGTGGAGGGATTGGCAGAGAGGGGTGGAGGACACTGAGTGGGGGCCAGTGGAGGGATTGGCAGAGAGGGGTGGAGGACACTGAGTGGGGGCCAGAGGAGGGATTGGCAGAGAGGGGTGGTGGATACAGAACGGTTAGTGAGGTGGATGAGTCTGGCAGCAGCATTCATGATGGACTGGAGTGGGGATAGCGTGCGATGAGGAAGGCCAATGAGGAGGGAGTTACAGTAGTCCAGGCGTGATATGACAAGGGAGTGAATAAGTTGCTTAGTGGTTTCTGGGGTTAGGAACGGTCGTATCTTGGAGATGTTGCGGAGGTGAAGTCTACATGATTTTGTCAGCGATTGGATCTGGGACTGGAATGACAGATGGGACTCTAGGATTACACCTAGTACCCTGGCATGAGGGGAGGGACTGATGATTGTGTTACCGATATTTATGGAGAAGTCAGTGGCGGTGGCACGGACAGGGGGGATATTAGGAGCTCAGTTTTGGAAAGGTGAGTTTGAGGAAGTGGAGTGACATCCAAGCCGATATGTCGCTTAGTAGGCTAGCGATGTGGGTGGAAACTGAAGGAGTGAGGTGGGGGGTAGAGAGATAGATTTGCATGTCGTCAGCATAGAGATGGTAGTTGAAGCCGTGGGAGTTTATCAAGTGACCATGGGAGGAGGTGTAGATGGAGAAGAGAAGGGGTTCAAGGACAGAACCTTGAGGGACCCCGACAGAGAGAGGGAGTGAAGAGGAGGTGGCAGCGTTATAGGTAACACTGAAGGAGCGGTGCGATAGGTAGGAGGAGAACCAGGAGAGAGCAGAACTACCAGGGTTGCACAAGTCGCTTTTCTGATTGGGCCCTGATGTTCCGCCACCGTAAAGTTGCCCCAAGATGGCAGGAAGAGGGCCCGTTGCAGAACATGTGAAGGGGTCCCTGTTGCAGGACCGTAAGGCTCCCTTTGGACTGCTGAACCCCCAAAGTCATGCTACTTGCTTGCGATTTCTTTCTGACTTTTGCAGTCTATGGCACCAAAGTCACAGAAAAGTAGTGCAGGCACCTTTTTTTTGTGTGTTGCTGCACCTTGAGTCGCATTGATTGAGATGGCATCCATTGAAATGGATGTGTTTTGACTTGTCATTCGACTTTATGTGTCGCAAATCACTTGATATGTCGCAGCAGTGTAAACTAAGGCTTACAAAGGGCCCTGCGATGGGAGTAAAGGGGCCCAGGATCAACAGGAAGGGCCCCGGGCCTGGAGGTAAGGGCCCTGGGATCAGTGAGAAGGGTCCCAGGACAGATGGAAAGGGCCCAGGTGGTTAGAAGGGCACTTCGTGGTTTCTTGGGCCCTGAAGGTTCTAGTTATTCCTCTGCATAGAGCCCTCTGAAGATGGAAGGCTAGCAGGGCACAATGCAGGTAGATTTTTCTCTCTATTATGGAAACTGATTAACCAAAACCTCATATCTGACTAACCACCAGCTGAATGTACACAGTAAAGTCTAAATCCCATTAAAAACCCTTTTAAAGCATTGGATGGAGTGAGGAAGGGTTAGAACCCTACTGGGGAAAATTGGCTTTCACTTCCTGTTGGGTCATAAAGGAAAAAAATTGTAACCTACGGAAGCTGGGACAGCAATAGAGCAGAGTTTGGAAAGGTCAGAGCAGTGGTCTCCAAACTGTGGCCCGGGAGCCGAATGCCGCCCTTTGCTTGCCTTTATCTGGCCCTTGGGGCACTGTTCCTCTTACTCAAAAGACACAATATTCCTCCCACTAACAGCAACAAAGGGGCACCATTCCTCCCACTGACACCAATGATGGGGGCACCATTCCTTCCACTGACACCAATGATTGGGAACTATTCCTTCTACTGACACCAATGCTTGGGCACTATTCCTCCCACTGTCAACGATTGGGCACTATTCCTTCTACTGACACCAATGCTTGGGCACTATTCCACCCACTGACACCAATGATTGGGCACTATTCCTCCCACTGACACCAATGATTGGGCACTATTTCTCCCACTAACAGCAACAAAGGGGCATCATTCCTCCCACTGACACCAATGATTGGGCACCATTCCTCCCACTGACAATGATTGGGCACTATTCCTTCTACTGAGACCAATGCTTGGGCACTATTCCTCCCACTGACACTGATTGGGCACCATTCCTCCCACTGACTCCAGTGATGAGGCACTATTCCTCCCACTGACACCAACGATCGGGCACCATTCCTCCCACTGACACCAATGATGGGGTACTATTTCTTCTGCTGAAACTAATGCTTGGGCATTATTCCTCCCACTGACAAAGATTGGGCAATATTCCTTCTACTGACACCAATGCTTGGGCACTATTCCTCCCACTGACACCAACGATTGGGCACCATTCCTCCCCCACTGACTCCAGTGATGGGGCACTATTCCTCCCACTGGCACAAACAATCGGGCACCATTCCTCCCACTGACACCAATGATGGAGCACTTTTCCTCCCACTGACACCAATGATCGTGCACCATTCCTCCCACTGATACAAATGATGGGGCACTATTCCTTTTACTGAAATCAATTCTTGGACACTGTTCCTCCCACTGACACCAGTGATGGGGCACTATTCCTCCCACTGACACCAACAATCGGACACCATTCCTCCCTCTGATACCAATGATGGGGCACTATTCCTTCTACTGAAACCAATGCTTGGGTACCATTCCTCCTACTGACACCAACAACTGAGCACTATTATTCCCACTACCAATGATTGGGCACCATTCCTCCCACTGACAACAATGACGGGGCACTATTTTTCCCACTGACACCAATCATGGGACACTACTCCTTCCACAAACTCCCCTATGGTTTGATGGACAGTCAACTGGCCCTTTGTTTAGAAAGTTTGGATACACCTGGGTTAGAGCCTCTATGTGAAAGAAATATTGAGAAATGTAAAGGAAGGATGGCGGCCATGAATCAAGCAGCTTCTAAAATACATTATATAGGCAAAAAAATGTGACCCCCCCCCCCCCCCCCCCCCCTTTATTAATGCTCTTCAGGTGGGTCAATAGGCTGTAAAGTCCTATAGGAGGGGCCTTCACACCCATTTTGGTTTGTTACGTCCTTGTTCCATTTCTTATGTATCATTACCATTTGTAGCATGCACTGTTCTTTGCACAACACCATGGCATAGGGGGATGCTATATGAAAAATATTAATAGCTGACTGGCTGAATGTGGCTATTATCGTGGTCAGTTCTTGATTCACAGGAAGTAAACATTTCACTCATATACATAATATACACTCACCGGCCAGTTTATGAGGTCCACCTTGCTAGTCCCGGGTTGGACCCCTTTTTGCCTTCATTCTTCGTGGCATAGAATCAACAAGGTGTAGGAAACGTTCCTCAGAGACTTTGGTCCATATTGACATGATGGCATCACACAGTTGCTTCAGATTTGTCGGCTGCACATCCATGATGGGAATCTTCCGTTCCACCACATCCCAAAGGTGCTCTATTGGATGGAAATCTGGTGACTGTGGAGGCCATTGGAGTGCAGTGACCTCATTGTCATGTTCCAGAAACCAGTTGGAGATGATGTGAGCTTTGTGACATGGTGCATTATCCTGCTGGAAGGAGCCATCAGAAGATGGGGACACTGGAGTCATAAAGGGGTGGAGATGGCCAGCAACAATACTCAGGTAGGCCATGGCGTTTAAACGATGCTCAGTTGGTGCTAAAGGGGCCCAAAGTGTGCCAAGAAAATCTCCCCCACACCATGACACCACCACCACCTGCCTGAACTGTTGATACAAGGCAGGATGGATCCATCACACCATGACATCACCACCACCAGCCTGAACTGTTGATACAAGGCAGGATGGATCCATGACACCATGACACCACCACCAGCCTGAACCATTGATACAAGGCAGGATGGATCCCCCACACCATGACATCACCACCAGCCTGAACCATTGATACAAGGCAGGATGGATCCCCCACACCATGACATCACCACCACCAGCCTGAACCGTTGACACAAGGCAGGATGGATCCCCCACAACATGACATCACCACCACCAGCTGGAACCGTTGATACAAGGCATGATGGATCTACCACACCATGACATCACCACCACCAGCCTGAACCGTTGATACAAGGCAGGATGGATCCACCACACCATGACACCACCACCAGCCTGAACCAATGATACAAGGCAGGATGGATCCACCACACCATGACATCACCACAACCAGCCTAAACCACTGACACAAGGCAGGATGGATCCACCACACCATGACATCACCACCACCAGCCTGAACCGTTGATACAAGGCAGGATGGATCCACCACACCATGACATCACCACCACCAGCCTGAACCGTTGATACAAGGCAGGATGGATCCTTGCTTCCATGTTGTTTATGCCAAACTCTGACCCTACCATCTAAATGTCGCAGCTGATATCCAGACTCATCAGACCAGGCAACGTTTTTTTCCAATCTTCTATTGTCCAATTTTGGTGATGCTGTGCGAATTGTAGCCTCCGTTTCCTGTTCTTTGCTGACAGGAGTGGCACCCGGCGTGGTCTTCTGCTGCTGTAGGCCATCTGCTTCAAGGTTGGACGTGTTGTGCATTCAGAGATGGTATTCTGCATACCTTGGTTGTAACGAGGGTTTTTTGGAATTCCTGTTGCCTTTCTATCATCTCCAACCAGTCTGCCCATTCTCCTCTGACCTCAACAAGGCATTTTCCTCCACACAACTGCCACTCACTGGATATTTTCTCTTTTTCGGACCCTTCTCTGTAAACCCTAGAGATGGATGTGTGGAAAAATCCCAGTAGATCAGCAGTTTTTGAAATACTTAGACCCACCCGTCTGGCACCAACAACCATGCCATGTTCAAAGTTACTTAAATCCCCTTTCTACCCCATTCTGATGCTCGGTTTGAACTTCAGAACATCATCTTCACCACGTCTAGATGCCCAAATGCATTGAGCTGCTGCCGTGTGATTGGCTGATTAGCAATTTGCGTTACCGAGCAATTGAACAGATGGACCTAACAAAGTGGCCGGTGAGTGTATATTTCTATTTCATCTGCAGGAACTGAAATTTGACTTCAATAATTTATCAGGACGAGAGGAACGCTTTGATAGGAAAATGATGAGATAAAATGAGGAACGCAGGTCATGTCGTACGATGAATCGCCCTCATAACGAAGCTTCGCTGGGAATGTAGAAGGTCGGGGTTTTGTAGAACGGTTCTGTACAGTCGCGCTGTTTTACTTTAGTCTATTATTACTGCTGAGCCGACACAACGTATTTCTGTGTCTGGGTCATGTGACTCGTCCCCTGAGGGCCGCAAGACGCACGCAGTGCTGGCTCTGAAT